AGTAAGTAAATGACATAAAGAGTTTTATATTGGTTCGAATAACCAATGTGGTGCCTCGTTTGGGTTTTAACGATTTGCTTAAAATTTTTGAGAAGATATTCGTGTTATAACAATTTGAAGCTTGATCATGTCTAATATACAATTCAAATTTATATCTTGGCATTGCCTCTACTTGTATGCCTACACTCAGATTCTTTCTTTTTCTTTTCTTTTCAATTGTACCACTCACATATTTACAAAGCTTTATGAAAGATAAAGAAAGTTGCTTGCTAAGCTCAAATGAAGTTGTGTACTTCACACTAAATTCTGGGTCGGCTTATTTAGATGACACATGTGCTCTTGTAAGGAAGAACTCAAGGGATTTATCTCAATCAATGATTGATCTAGGGAGTCCTTGATTGAGGCGATTTAGTTGTTCTGATTCCTGAGGTAATCGCTTCTTCTGCTCTTCATTGCCAACTGGATCCTTTTGTTGTATGATCAACATATTTCTTTTTTTGTGGCTTAATTCATGGCTCTTCCCTTTCTTGATAACTCCGTTCTGTTCTGTTCTCTGATTTGCTGAGTTGCTTGAATTCATTTTGTCAATCACAATATGTATTGATTGAGTTGGTTACTGGATCTTGGCCAAGTGTGACAATATTCTAATTCTTTAGACTTAGGCTTTCCTTTCATACACTATTGTGATGATCAAACAAATATTCCTTTCCTTCTTCTGATTCCTTAGATTGAGGCTTTCCTTTACAACAATTTTGTAGATATCAAACAATTATTCTTTTCCTTGTTGAAGTCGTTTGCACGGACCATTTCCTTTTTGATTTCCTGATTTACAAATTTTGAGGTAAATATTTTAAAGTCTATTTTCAAAATCAACTAACTATATGGAGATCACAGAAATGATGAAATTGGATCCGGAGGGAATTCTGGATTATTCATAAAACATTTTCTTATCTTATTGAGCTTGGAGGAAGGTGGTCAGGCATGCTGGGAGTTTGATGTTTTGAAGTGAGGAGGAGCGTGGAGGAGATAATCGTCATGAAATGTCACTTATGGAAAATGACTTTCCTATTCTAAAGAAATGTTTTGTTTCACAATTTTTTGAAAATTTTTTCTCTCCTAAACATATTATAACTTCTAGCCGAAACTGGGTTTTAGAATTGAATCATTCATGAGGCATGTTCTTAAAATACTACACAACATATTCAGTGAAATATCGTAAAGTCGAGTCTGCGGATGATAGAGGGCAGGATGACCTTAGTAATAGTTTGTGGCATATACTTTTTACTAATTCTGAAACTGCGCGTTGCACGTTTATCGTTTATTACGACCGAAAATTTATCCAAGTCTGATTTCATGTCGATATAAATATTTATCACATTATGATGTATAATATTACTAGTCCTTACACATGTTTCGCACGTGAGTTATGTGAAAACATTATATACGCTATGTTAAGAAAATCACACGACAATAAGTATCACAAACTATTCAACAAACAAATATAAAATTTGGAATATATGAACAATCAACCTATTGTTTTTAAAGTATGAAATCCCTAAACTTAAATAACTTTTAAATCACATAGAATAGTTGAAAACATAAGAATAATAGTGCACAAAGTCTTTCATATTGTATCAATTTGATGAACTTTGCAAAATTCATGTTCCTAAAATAAACTACAGTAATTATTTATATCATAAAAGAACCATTATAACACAATAGAGAAATTAGTATCAAAATTATTTTTTAAAATGTGATTATAATGTCATGTCAATATACTGATATGAAAATTTGCTATACTTTATATGAAAATAGGCAAAATAAAAAGCAAGAAAAAATAATATGCACAACATATAATCTTTTGTTTTGACAAATTACAATTACTATTGTTCGAAAATAGCATACACAGCGGAAGCATTCCAGAATCATACACCTTGCATGAATATAAATAACAATCACAAATAGTTATCACATACAAAGTATGCTGAAAATTAACTCAGGATTACCTCTTGAAGCGTGTGCACATATCTTAAAGTAAATCCAACTCCAGTTCTATAGTCTTCTACAGTGATCCCAATCAACAAATAAACTCTCTCAATAATTGGGTGGGCAAGTATTGTATAGAATTCTCTAATTAAATCTAGGTTAGAAAAATCCCTATTTATAGAGATGTCTTCCTAGTCCAAAGAGGAGAGGAAAAACCAATTCTTTTTCTTTTAGGAGATGTCTTCCTAGTCCAAAGAGGAGAGGAAAAACCAATTTTTTTTATTTTAGGAGAACTTGAAAACACACGTTTTTCTCAAAAGAAAAAGAACGCTACTTTTCCATCTTCTACTAGAAAATAGGATTCTGAGTTCTAGTTAAATTGGGCACTTGAGGGACCACAGAATTTATTACTGAGGCTTCCTATTATGGAAATAATTCTAAATAATTAATTTAAATTATTCTTACCATAATAAATTACAAATCATTCCACTAAAAATTCGTAATTGAACTCCTCTATTTATTTCGAAAATCACCACTAAACACTTATTTGATTCCCCATGTTAAGATTACCGATACTAATCAATAAATTAAATTATTGACGAATTTAATTCAATGATTAAATTCTTTTAGAGCAATACTTAACTTATTTCATATGCCAGATTCATAAATCTACCGGCCGGGTTTACACATGAAAACTTACAAGCTTCTCATAAAAGGTGTATCATCAATCTCTATACTTAGACATGGATTCCATCAACTAACTAATTATTTCACCAATATATATTATTATCATCCAATTTACCAGGCATATTGACCCATCTCAGAATCTCACCATTTAATAAATCAAAATGATAAATAATATATACAGATCATAATCGTTATATCAAGATTAAGAATATAAGTACATTTAATAGTTTAGAGAATATGTTTTTATCAGTCAGTCTAAAACAACTATCTCTTCTTGGTCCCGTTCAATACATACCAAATGCACTAGCACGAGAAGTTAGAACTATGCCATTCTCATAATCAAGATAAATTACATTTAATCTCGTGCTACAATCCTTCTGATGATTCTGTGCAAATTTCAATCTATGATTGTGAACTATAAATTTTAACTTATAAGAACTGATGATTTAATCTTCTGTGCATAAGCTTAAACTCTATACACCAAATCATCTACTATATAAGTTAAGGACACATATATGACAATTGATCTATTTAATGTAACACTTTATTGAATTGAATAAATAAATAAACAATTGTTCAATATTAATACTATATCAAAATGCATGGTTAATAGTATATCCTAACAATCTCCCACTTAGACTCATAACCATGCACCTACAACTCTAACACTCATTCCTCTTTTTGTACACACAAGACTCATCAAGACATTGCCCAAAACCAAAAGACTTGACTGCAGTGTCGAAGCAAGTGTTCCATGCCCTAGAAGCTTGCTTTAATCAATAAATAGATCTTTTAAGCTTGCACAACATGTGTTCTTTTCTTTTTTCTATGAAACCATCTGATTGTCGTATAAATATGCTTTCATCAGGACTTCCATTAAGGAAAGCTGTCTTGACATCCATTTGCCAAATCTCATAATCATAATGAGCAGCAATGGATAAGAGAATTCTAATAGACTTAAGCATGACTACTGGCGAAAAAGTTACCCTTTTGCAACAAGTCTAGCTTTGTAAGTTTGCACTTGTCCATCTACTCCTCTCTTTTTCTTATATATCCACTTGCATCCAATGGGTTTGACTCCATCTACAGGTGGTTCTACAAGATCCCAGACTTTGTTAGAGTACATAGAATCCATTTCTGATTTCATAGCAACAATCCATTTTTCTGCATCTTTATCTTGTAGTGCTTCGTCGTAATTCACAGGTTCGGTATTTGACTCTTCAGGGATTCTGTCAAAAGACTCTCCCAAGAGTGCATACCGAAGTGGTTTTCTTATCACTCTCCCACTAGGACGAGACACTACAGTTGCAGGGGTAGGTTTAGAGAGATTAGCATTATTATGATCTTGTGGTGGAACCACATCATTTTAGGATCTTGAGTTTCCATGTTATCTTCAGTATCTTGTGGTGCAGAGATATCAACAACTTTTTCCTCTAATGCAATCTGCTCACTATCACTCCCACTACCTTGATGCAATGAATTTTCAAGATCTTGTACTTGCAGAATTTTATGTTTGTTATCATCTCCCCCACTATTATAATGCAATGGTATGTTAAACTCTAACATGTGGGGTTTGAATTTGGTTTTCATTATTTTCAGTAGATTGATTTGTTTTCTCTTTGCTCAATTCCTGTAAAACTAGTTTACTTCTACGAATATGGTTTGTTAAAAAATCCGTTTCAAGAAACTTGGCATTGGTAGACACAATGACCTTCTTTTCTTTAGGATTATAAAACATACCATCTTTCGTTCCTTTAAGGTATCCAATAAAAACACATACTTCTGTTTTAGGTTCCAATTTTTCTACCTTCCCTTTTAATACATGTGCTGGACATCCCCAAACCCGAATATGTCTCAAACTAGGTTTGTGCCCAGTCCACAGTTCAATGGGTGTCAAAGGAACAGATTTAGAAGGAACTAAGTTCAGAATGTAATTTGCAGTTTCTATGGCATATCCTCAAAACGAATGCGGCAAATCAGAGTAACTCATCATTGATCTAACAATTTCTAAAAGAGTTCTATTTCTTCTTTCTGCTACACCATTTTGTTGTGGCGTTCTAGGTGCAGACATTTGAGATGTAATTCCTTGTTCTGATAAGTAACTAATAAAATCATTAGAGAGGTATTCGCCACCACGATCAGATCGCAATGACTTGATATATATTCCATGTCGTTTCTCTGTTTCAGCCATAAACTCTTTGAATTTATCAAAGCATTCAGACTTACGGCGCAACAAATATATATATCCATATTTTGAGTAGTCATCAATAAAGGTCACGAAGTACTCATACCCACCTCTTGCTTGAATGTTCATTGAAACACACAAATCAGAATGAATTAACTCTAGTTTATCATTGACTCTATTTCCTTTTGAGGGAAAAGGTCTCTTAGTCATTTTTCCTTCTAAACAAGATTCACATGTTGGTAGTGCCTCCACTTTTAATGAACCTAAAGGTCCATCTCGAACCAACCTTGAAATCCTATCTAGATTTATATGACATAGACGCAAGTGCCATAGATAAGTCTCATTAAAATCAGAAGAACGTTTTCTTTTACTTGAAAGGTTAACATTATTAAATTCTACGAATTGTTGCAGTTCTGGAGAGACATTAATAATAAAAAGACCATCAATCAATGTACCAGCAGAGACAAAATGTTTATTATAACTAATAACACAACCGTTATCAGAAAAACTAACATCATAACCATCTCCAAAAACTTTAGAAACTGAAATCAAATTTCTTCTAACAGCAGGTGCATATAGAACGTCTTTTAAAATTAAAACTCTACCACTATCAAACGAAAAAATAATATTTCCTAATGCTAAAACTGGAGCTGCAGAGCCATCTGCTTGAAAAACGCTAACTTCACCTCTAATCAGCTTGCGCGTTTCTTGAAACCCCTGCATAGTAGTGCAGATATGATCAGTGGCTCCTGAATCTATATACCATGAAGTGGTAGAAACAGTCGCTAAGAATGTTTCAACGACAAGTGAAAGTGAGTTACCTGGTTTGTTTTTCTTCTTGACTAAGAAAACTTGACAATGTGCCTTCCAATGACCTGACATCTTGCAATGAAAACACTTACCCTTAGACTTTTTCACTCCCCCAGTTGGAGGTGCAGTTGCCTTAGCTTTGTGAGACTTTTTCTTCTTCTGTCCACCTTGCGGTTTAGAAGTAGAACCTTTCTCAACATTAAGTGCCATTGATGGTGCATGTTTTTTGACAAGGGTCTTTGTCGCCTGTAGCTCATTCAACAATTGTGCCAAAGATAAACTCATCTTATTCATATTATAATTTAGGCAAAATTGTTGAAAGCTATCAGGCAGAGACTGCAATATCATCTCAACTTGGGAGTCATTGTCAATTTCAGCCCCCAAAACCTCTAGTTCATTCAGAAGACCGATCATCTTCAGAACATGGTCTCTTACAGGAGTGCCTTCAACCATCTTAGTGTTCATGAGAGTTCTCATGGCAGTCTGCTTAGCAGATCGACCCTGGTCTCCAAACATTTGTTTGAGATTCTCCAGAATTTCAAAAGCAGACAACATAGCTTGATGTTGATGTTGCAAAACATTTGACATTGAAGCCATAATGTAACATCGCGCCATCTCATCAGCTTTGCACCATTTCTGATATGCTAACTTATCCTTATCACTAGACTGATCATTTGGTTTCAATGGACATTCCTCATGAAGCACAAACTTATATTCTTCAGCAGTTAACACAATGTCAAGATTTCTCCTCCAGTCAACATAGTTAGAACCCTCTAGTTTGTTTTGACCCAAAATAGTACTAATGGGATTAAAAGGAGACATGTTGAATTTGAGATTAAAGAAATAGTTACAATAGATCAATAACATAGTCATATAACATTGAATATTTACATTCAAACTCATGATATACATATACATTCATGCATCTTAAATAGCTAATCGTTGGGATTGGAGAACTATTTATACAATATACATATATAATGACCGATTATTCACTTTATAAACTGATACAGACCTAACTCAGTTGGAAAGTCTACTGTTACTTTAAGTCAAGTGAAAATCCTCCAGTTGCATTGATCCAATCATATATTACTCAGTTTAGGAGAGTTAATACAAATTGTCAAACTAGCGATTAAATATGTAATGACTTGTATTAAATTCATCCGATGGGGAGGAAGGTCTAAGCCAACACATAAACTTAATACTTCATTAATATTTAATCTTGGTAAAAAATTTACTCATCACCATTTATTTTCTTCCAAATTTCATACAAAAAAAATTTCCAGAAAGAAAATATACGCACACCAAATCTTCGTACATTCCATGTACCATCTCATATATATTCAATAATACACCTTTTGATTAAAAAAGTTATGGCTGCCTATAATGTGAACAAGAAAACTACAGCCATACTATTTTGTTTTAGTCATACAAAATCAAAAGTTTCTCTCTATATTAAAACATGTGAGCCAAAAAAAAATTAACTTTTTTTTTATTATTATTATATCAAAAACAGCCAGCCACATAATTTGTTTTTTTTTAATTATCGTATAAAAAACAGTCACATAATCGAGACATAAATCACACATACAATCATGTATTGCTGTCATGGCGTGGTATGCTTCTCTTTGGCCTTGCCATAACACAAATCTCTTATATATAATTGCACATTAGTGCTGCCACAAGACAACAAAAAAAATTTGATCGGTGCAGCTATCAAAATTTCTCTTGAAATTATCCATCGAAGAACATCGTGCATAAGTAACTATTACCGTATGAATTTAACAAAAACAAATCAAATCAAGTTTTTATCCGTTCTGTCCTTTTCGTGATAAAACAAAATTCACAATCACGAATCATACATATAATTTCACATATGCATATTTTAGGTTATGTATAAAGATGCAAGTATGGCTCTTGATGTCAATTGTTCAAAATAGTATATACAGCGGAAGCATTCCAGAATCATACATCTTGCATGAATATAAATAACAATCACAAATAGTTATCACATACAAAGTATGCTGAAAATTAACTCAGGATTACCTCTTGAAGCGTGTGCAAATATCTTGAAGTAAATCCAACTCCAGTTCTATAGTCTTCTACAGTGATCCCAATCAACAACTGAACTCTCTCAATACTTGGGTGGGCAAGTATTGTATAGAATTCTTTAATTAAATCTAGGTTAGAAAAATCCCTATTTATAGAGATGTCTTCCTAGTCCAAAGAGGAGAGGAAAAACCAATTCTTTTTCTTTTAGGAGATGTCTTCCTAGTCCAAAGAGGAGAGGAAAAACCAATTCTTTTTCTTTTAGGAGAACTTGAAAACACACGTTTTCCTCCAAAGAAAAAGAACGCTACTTTTCCATCTTCTACAAGAAAATAGGATTCTGAGTTCTAGTTAAATAGGGCACTAGAGGGACCACATAATTTATTACTGAGGCTTCCTATTATGGAAATAATTCTAAATAATTAATTTAAATTATTCTTACCATAATAAATTACAAAACATTCCACTAAAAATTCGTAATTGAACTCCTCTATTTATTTTGAAATTCACTATTAAACACTTATTTGATTCCCCATGTTAAGATTACCGATACTAATCAATAAATTAAATTACTGACGAATTTAATTCAATGATTACATTCTTTTAGAGCAATACATAACTTATTTCATGTGCCAGATTCATAAATCTACCGGCCGGGTTTACACATGAAAACTTACAAGCTTCTCATAAAAGGTGTATCATCAATCTCTATGAGACATGGATTCCATAAACTAACTTATTATTTCACCAATATATATTATTATCATCCAATTTACCAGGCATATTGACCCATCTCAGAATCTCACCTTTTAATAAATCAAAATGATAAATAATATATACAAATCATAATGGTTATATCAAGATTAAGAATATAAGTACATTTAATAGTTTAGAGAATATGTTTTTATCAGTCAGTCTAAAACAACTGTCTCTGCTTGGTCCCGTTCAATACATACCAAATGCACTAGCACGAGAAGTTAGAACTATGCCATTCTCATAATCAAGATAAATTATATTTAATCTCGTGCTACAATCCTTCTGATGATTTTGTCCAAATTTCAATCTATGATTGTGAACTATAAATTTTTACTTATAAGAACTGATGATTTAATCTTCTGTGTATAAGCTTAAACTCTATACACCAAATCATCTACTATATAAGTTAAGGACACATATATGACAATTGATCTATTTAATGTAACACTTTATTGAATTGAATAAATAAATAAACAATTGTTCAATATTAATACTATATCAAAACGCATGGTTAATAGTATATCCTAACAACTACACCTCACTATCTAATTCAAAGAGTTATTTTATATATTTACATTTATATAGGGATACAGAAAGAATACAATAATTTATCAAACATTTACAGATTTAATTTTGGATGTTATAAAAGCAAAAGGAATGAAACATGTGGAGATTAGTATAAACATAGGTTATTTAACTGAAGAGGTGCGAATTATTGAAATGTGACCTTTTAATATAGAAAAATGATGAAAAATCCAAATTAAAAAACTTCTTTGTGATATATATATATATGCAAAGTTAATTAGACTCTCAATACCTAAATGTGAAAATCAGGAACACATATAAATTATTTATAATAGCTAATATTTCTATAAATTTCAAGACCAATGGACATATTTAGAATAATTGTGGTCTCAAAAATAAAGGAGAAAAAATAGAATGTCAAGTGGTAATTGATCAATGTTATTTTACATAATGACTTATCATTCAATCAAATGTGTCATTCAATCTTATTGGAACATAATATCAAGTAATAATGGATAATATCAAATTGATTTTAAAAAATATGTACATAAATAATATAATTTTACAAAAGACTACATATTAATGTGCATCAGTAGACTACAATTGACTTTTTGTATCTATATATTTACCAATCTTATGGTTGTTGGCCTTGTAATTTGTAATTACACCTATAAAATTGATATTACAATGTAAAATCTAGTCCAAAGCCATATAATTAGATATTAGTAACAATTGCTAAAAGTTGAAACATAAAGTAACCAAAGAAAGAAACTTGAAAAGGGAACTTACTATAATGACAAGATGCTCTTGAATAAAAATGAAAATGATACACAAGAATGTATATAACAAATATTATTTTATAAATTCACATATTGGTGACCCTTCACCGTCTATTACAACTCTTAGTTTCTTAGTTTTGTTCCTTTATTGAAGCAATAAAAATCCAGACTTCGTAAAAAGTTAAAGAAAAACTCTTAAATCTTCTCCCTTAATTGAGCAATAAAAGTCCAAACTTCATAAAAAGTGAAAAACGACCTTTTTTTGTGTGAATATATATATACCATTTTGCCCCTATACTAAATTTTTTTTAAAAAAATCATAAAAATTATAAAATCATATATCATTAGTATATAAATATTATGGGATGCTAAAAGTCTACTTTCTTTTTTAATGAAATAGTCAAATCTCTAAAGTATTTGAAAAGTCAGTTTATATATTAAATATAAATATTACGGGATGCTATAATTTACTTTTAAAAAAATGAAATAGTAAGATGCCCGAAAAATTTGAAAATTCAGTTTTCATTAAAAAAAATGATAGTAATGATGATGATGATGATGATGATGATGATGATGATGATGATGATGGAAAGAAATTTACAAAAAGGTTAAATTCTTGTTTTCCCCCTATATTAAATTAGAATGTTATAAAATGTCTAATTTATTAATATTCTATCATTAATTAAGAATATCATATTAAATTTTACAATGATATAATTAATATGTATTTGAGTATACATAAGGATGGATTAATTTCCTTCGTACTACCACCTATTTTAATACTCTAGAATGACTTATCATTTTTTTATATCAATTTAAAATTTTAAAGTTCTTTTCAACTTCTAACAGCAATCTTTCAAAATTTTATATATAGTTAGATCAGTGAATATGCTAGACAAGATCCATTGATTTTCTTCCGCTCTCCTTCTTCTTCTAAACTCATATTCAATGTGACTAGTAAGGACTCCATTTATATTTCTCATATGTTGGATTTCTTAACCATTTATTAAATTATTATTATGCGTGATTATGATTATTTTTGGCTGCTAATAATTCTATCACAACATACATAGGTTCTTTCTTTATAATGTGGACATAAAATGTTAGTCCACTAGAGTTTCTTTTGAAAATTTTAATTTATTGGTTATTCTTTCTTATTCGGGATAATAAACAAGTACCCCTCAACCTATGCCCGAAATCTCAGAAACACACTTATACTATATTAAAGTCCAATTATCCCCTGAACTTATTTAATTAAAAAATTACTACTCCTTTTTGACCTACGTGACACTATCTTATGGGTCCAACACTGGTTGACTTTTCTTTCAAGCTAGTTTCACATAGGCCAAAAAGGGATAAAAATTACTTATACAATAAGTTTAGAGGGGTGATAGGTCCTTATTATAGTATAAATGTGTCTCTGAGATTTCGTGCATAGGTTGAGGGGGTACTTGTGCATTTTCCCTTCTTATTCAAATTAATATATTGTTTTGTTAATATTTTTCATTTTGTATGCATATGATGACATGTATATTTTATTGTTTTTTTGGAAAAGGGTCTGATATACCCCTCAACTTTATAAGTTGGAGCTGAGATACTTCTTATTGTGAAAGTGACTCATATATACCTTTATCGTTATAGAAACAACTCACTTGTTTTTTAAAGTTAATTGGGTTGATATTACACATGTTTTTATACATAAATTAGGCCTATGAAGAT